TCCATCACTATCTCTTGGAGCTTGCTCAGACTCATGTCCATCGAGTCAGTGATGCCATCTAACCATCTCATCCTCTGTCATCCCCTTCTCCTCCTGCCTTCAATCTTTCCCAACATCAGGGTCTTTTCAAATGAGTCAGTTCTTCACATCAGGTGGCCGAAGTATTGGAGCTTCAGTATCTGTCCTTCCAGTGAATATTCAGGGTTGATTTCCTTTAGGATTGACAGCTTTGATCTCCTTGCAGTCCAAGAGACTCTCAAGAGTCTTTTCCAATACCACAGTTCAAAAGCATCAATTCTTCGGCACTCAGCCTTCTTTATGGTCAAACTCTCACATCCATACATGCCTACTGCAAAAACCATAGCTTTGGCTAGATGGACCTTTGTCAGCAAAATAATGTCTCAGCTTTATTGAGTTATTATTGACAAATAGCATTGTGTAAGTTTAAGGAGTACAATGTGATTGTTTGAAAGATGTATATAATGTGAAATGATTACTACAGCAAGGCTAGTGAGCACATCCATCACCTCACATAGTTACTTTTTGCATGTATGTGTGTGGTGATAACATTTAATATCTACTGTCTCAACAAACTTCAAGTATACAGTATGGTGTTATTAACTATATAATGCTTAGCTTTATATATGTTTTTATTTTACCTGTTAGGTTATAAGCTACATGATGGAACAGTTTTTTTTTTTTCCATTCATTCATTCATTCTTCCATCTCTAGGGCATACCTATGGTGGCTAGCAGAATATATGTGTTGAGTGTGTGTCATGACAGGTAGTACCTAAAACATAGCTTATTCACCCCATAATATGACTTTGGAAGCCACTCCAATGACTGGAAAGACTGGGCCCTGTTCTCCATCCTCTCTTAATATTCTTTTTATCCACTTCAGAAACCAGACACAGGAAACATCTGACCATAATAAAAGGTTTCTAGTCAGTTCTAGGTTTCCTCACTGAACAAAGTCATGTGTAGCAACGCTCTGTTGTGCTTCGGTCTGGAATTCTGTTTGGCCACTTGCTTAGCACACCACATGGCTGCCTCTAGCCTCAGAGCCTGAAACAGCTGGAGCCCGGGCTGCTTGAAATAAAAATGACATTTTTGTTAGCCTGAGAGGCAGAAGTCTGGATATTCTTGCTCTGCTTCTTGCAAAACAAACTTTTCAATTTGTTGAATACTGAATTTTCCCTTTAGCTGTCAAAATGGTTTATGGCTCAAATGATCTTACATCCTTCAGAATAAACACAAAAAAAATGAATGGCCAAACTGATTCTCAGATCTCTGCCTTAAATGCTCAAAGCAATATCCATCCAAATTACACAAAACGTGATATATGTCCCTGACTTCCTCCTGAAGTTTCTGCCCTCTCACTTGCATCTTCTGCAGTTTAAAGACACACACTCTTGGGAGCATTCACCACTGGAAATAGTATTTACAAAAACTCTGACTCTTTCCAGTAAGACTGTTATCTGTTTGGTGCTTGCTTCTTGCATATCCTTATCATGCTTTATTTCTAAGTGCCAACTGACATCTCTGCTTCCTTGGCTGGAAGGCAAAGACCAGCTCCTATCTGCTGGATAGAATAGATCGGATAGGATAGATTAGATAGACCAGTTCATATCTCTAGTATCACCAGGCCTGGCACATAATGGGCCCCTGATAATATTTGTGAGAAGGAAGGAAGAAGAAAATAATTGTTTAAAAGCTGGTCTAAAAAAAAAAAAAAAAAAGCTGGTCTATTTAGGAATTGAGGTTACTAAGGTATAGTTAAGTGTCATGAAATGTAAGGAAAGGGAAAAGCCAAAAAGCTTGTTGGCACATACAGTGAATCAGGAAGGTGATCAAGAACCTGCCATCCTTTTGCATTGGTACCAGTGAGTTAGAGGTTAAAATCCTAGAGCTGGATTAGGAAGTTTGTTCCTAACTTTTTTTCCCTCTGATAATAACAAGTTACATATTCACTATAGAAATTTTTCAAAACTGCAGGAATAAATATCATCTGTAATTCTTTCACCCAGAGACAACCGTTGTTCACATTTAAGTTTCTTTTTTTTCCTTTTACTCTTTAAAGTTTTAGTCTTTTAGTTAACATGTAGCCTTTTTTCTTTTAGAAAAAGATTGAAAACTTTGAAAGAGATTATTTCAGAACGGCTTGTGTGTACAAAGACAGTAAATTGCAATTGGAAAAATACTTGTCAACTGCAATAAAAATTTGAGATGGTGTTACTGTTGCTCACCTGGGCAGTCAGCTTCTCAGAAAGGCTTTGCTAATCTCCTCCAGGTGACTGTGATCCCTCACCTAGAAAGCGCTTGGGGCCCTTTCCTTATTCCCCCTGCACTGCTTCGTGGGAATGCTTTCATCTCCCAAGGATGAGGCTGGGCTTGAACCTTTGAATCTTTCTGCTACAAGGACATTTCAAGGTTGACTTGAATTGAATGAGAATCTCTGTGCAGAATAGATCTCTCCCCTCACCAGTTTGTGAAATATCACTCAGATAACATCACCTTTGAAAGGAAGCGAAGGAAACAAACATTCCTTTGTTTAATGAGCATATTGACCACTTTCTGAGTGTCAGTCAGTGCACTTGACATCAAAGCCTCAAAATGAATAGACAGTCCTTGTCCTCAGGGGACGTGCAGTTTAATGAGAGAAGAGCGAGAGTAAAGACAGGATTATAAGGCACTATGACAAATGCCATAATAGCATGCAGTGATGGCCTAAAGAGAAGGGGCAGAGTTGACCAGAGAAGGCTTTAAGAAGAGGAGATGATCTGTTTGGGTCTTAATAGAAAAGTGAGAGATTTTCTATGCAAGTGGGCAGAGAAAACAGTATATCAGATGTCTGAAAACATGAAGGTGAAGATCTCTTTGGAAAAATAGAAACAGTTTAGCATATCTGGAACATGAGGTATATTACAGGTCATAAATTAGCCAGAATGGTAAAGACCTTGAAGGTCAGAGCTTGGACTTTATCTTTCAGGCTAGAGGAAGCCACTAAAGCATTTTAATCAAGAGCAAAGAGGTGGTCAGGTATACTTTTTAGAAAAATCATGCAGCAGTATAAAAGATGATGGCAGTAGGCTAAGTTGGAGGTTTAAGTGTGGATAAGGGAGCTATCAGAACACTCCCAGCAAAAGAAGGATTGGCAGATATCCACAAAAGGCAAAGGTGGTGCTAGTGGTAAAGAACCTGCCTGCCAATGCAGGAGACATAAGAGACGCAGGTTCAATCCTTGGGTCAGGGAAGATCCCCTGGAGGAGAGCACGGAAACTGCAGTATTCTTGCATGGAGAATTCCCATGGACAGAGGAGCCTAGTAGGCTGGCAAAGAGTTGGACACGACTAAGTAACTGAGCACACATCGGGTGTTATGTTGGTAACATATCAGTGAACAAAGCGTCCATAGTGTCTGTCTTTATGGAACTTTTAGTCTAGCAGTGGGACAGATGTAACTTCCAGTTTTGGAACTCTTGTGTCAGATTTCCATGTACAGTACAAAGAAAATGACATACACCTGAGATCTGAAGGATCCTGCTGGGGTGGGATGCTTCCTGGGGTGCAGATGCTGTTTCTATAGGCAGCCAGCTAGCATTCCTTTGTAGTGACTGAGCCTTTTGAATATGATCCTTTTTGAGTCTGGAGTCTCTGGGGTTATGTTGGGCCTTAAATTGTTTTGGTGTCCCTTGTATTATTAATTTGCATTTATTGAGCTATGTGTTGGCTTTATGCCATCATTTGTATTGGCTCCTGTTGTAGGAAACAGCCATAAAAGATCCACAGTTATTTATCATGTAATAGAGATGTTGTAGAAGTTAATAGTCTTCAACATGGTGTAGCATCTCCATTTGTTAAGACCTATAAGAGGAATTTCTTTCTGATCACTATATAGTATTTGCTTTTCTACTTCTGGTTGCTCTGAGGCACCCTCTCCAATCTTGCTTCAGGTCTCCCCACAGGATACCCTCTGCCTGGAATGCCCCTTCCCTTCTTGTTGGGTTTAACCTCTATGTGTCCTACATATCCATCAGCTTGTAGTTCAGGTGTCACTTCTTTAGGGAAGCCTTACCTAACCAATATACACTCCCCTTCCAAACTTTTAGTGCTTTTCCCGCACTCTTTATTGTTGTTGCTTTTATTTCATCAGTTTTCAGTTGAATGAGTTGTTGTTGGGTAACTTTTTTTCTCTTAGACTGATGACAGGTCCATGAGGCTAGAGATCATGCATTTTTTTGTGTGTCTGGATCACAAAGCCATAGTATAGTATCTTGCGTGTAGTAGATGCTCAATAAATATTTACTGAATAGTTGAGTAAATGAATGAATGAATATACTGTGAGCCCTCAGTCTTGTTCATTTTCTCCTTTATTTAGCTGTTTGGGAGCTCGCTTAGACTTCTTTGATTCGACCTGTGGTGTTTGGTTAGGTCCTCATGGCATGTATTTTGTGCACTAACATTCCCCTGACTATATAATATTTTTCCTTCCTTTGATTTCTTCACTTTTAAAATTCCAGTGTATACTGTAAATTCCTGTAAGTCACCTGATGCCTTTTGGGGGAGGAAATAATAAACAATTGGATATAATAATAGGAAAAGAAAGTAAGTCAAAGGAAAATGTTGGTGCCCTTAACCAGATGCAGGAGGGAAGTTTTCTTTTGCTTTGTTTTAATTTAATTTTCACTGTGAGAAGGAAAAAGAAGTAAATTTGTCCCCTAATTTGGCAGGAAATGCGTCTGAAGAATTTGGGCCATGTCTCTGCCCTGAGATGTTCCTCCCAGTGGCAGGAGGCTGGGGCTGGGCTCAGCAGGGCCTCCTGGCCCAGTGGATGGGTGGGATGGACCTGTGGAGGCTATCTGTGCAACTGATTCCAGTCCTGTTAACCTTTCCTTGGGAGAGGGTTTGGGCAATGCCAGTGAGAGCTTGCTTTTTTTTGTTTGTTTTTGTTTTTACCGTAAGAAGGAGAAAGAAATGAACTTGTCCTCTTGTGTTGCAGATTCAGTGGTTCTTTCCTTTGACTCCGCGGGACAAACACTAGGCTCAGGTACCAATCCCTCCCCCCTCTGTCATCCTTTCTGCTCTCAGTACTGGCCACAGTTGAAGTGGAGCCTAATGAGGTGGGGGAGGGGGTGTCTGGGGAGGGCACTGGAATATCTTAATATTGTGGGAAGATCTCAAGAAGCTTTTCTAGGGACCCATGGTCTGGGAAGCAGCAGTGGGATGCAGCATCCAGAGGACTTCGCCAGTTGCTTTAAACGTTTGCAGCAAAGAGTTTGCAGTAGATGCTCCTTCCTCATTCAGGGTGGTCCAGGGTCATAGAAAAGATGTCTGTTTCCTCTGCACACATCCTGTCTCAGAGAGAGATGGGCAGAGACCCCTGAAAGACCCCAAGCTCTGGGCACGCAGGAGCAGTGGACCATCAGGGTCTCCAGGAACATGCTGGGCTGGCGAGAGCATCACAGCTTCCTAAGAACACACACCCTGTTGTAGGTTCACAGGCACACCCCGTATAACTCACATACATGCCTCCTGTGTGTACACCTCCTGTGTGTAGGGGCACGGTACTGTGCACATATGCTGAAGCGCTCCCATGCTTCCGTGCGTCGACAGTGCAGGACGCAGAAATCAGCTTTGACTCAGATCACCCAGGCTTAGTGGAGCCCAGCTCTCCCCTGTCTCAGGCTGTCTGCCTGCCCCACAGCACTCTGCTGTTGGCAGTGAACAGAAAGGGAAGACACTGATTCTTCAACTTGCTGCCATTGCATCCATATGGGAGCCCCAGAATGACTTTACCTCATGAGGAGAGCATCTCCATGCATCAGGTCTTAAGTTTTAGTTGAAGATGGTGGTCCTTTTACCATAGGTGCTGCCTGCGAGTAATAGGGAGACTTTGCTGGCCTGTTAAAGGCAATTAACCCATTTTGCTGTGGTTAACGGCAATAGATTGATGTTTTACAATGCAGCCATGAGGTTCAGGCTGCTGTAGCAATGTGGACGAGGGGAAGGACGATCAGAGAATAGAATCTCAGCTACCACTCTTCACTGAGGGCCTGCTGTGTGCCAGCACTAAAAACACCAAAGCCAAGTGCTTTGCACACTTCTTACAAGGTAGATAGTAAGTACATCTTTAATTATAGATAAAGAAACCTAATACTCAAGAGTCAAAGTACCCTGTCCAGGGCCACTCATATCTGTCTAACCCTAGAGCCTATACTCTCTGCCTTGCCATCTTGCTGTCGCATACCTTGATACTCCACTGAAATGCTTTAAGACTGAACGGACAGATAGAAAGAGTTTTGAAATAGTCATAAAGTTGTGTCAATTCACATAGAAAAAGATGAATCAATTTTATTACATTTATTACAATTTATTACATTACAATTTTATTACAAAGTAAAACTTCTGCTAATCAAAAGATACCATTAAAAGAGTGAAAAAAGATATCTATAACATAAATAGCCCACAAAGGGCTTGTTTCCAGAATAAAGAGCTACAAAGATCAATGTGAATAAAGAAGCAACCCTGTATAAAAACAAGCAAAAGACCCAAATAGGCCCTTCACAAAAGAGGAATCCAGATGGTCAATAACCCAATGAAAAGGTCTTCAATTGTATTAGTACCTAGGGAAATACAAATTAGCATTTCAAGCACAAGCTGGAATCAAGATTGCCAGGAGAAATATCAATAACCTCAGATATGCAGATGACACCACCACCCTTATGCAGAAAGTGAAGAACTAAAGAGCCTCTTGATGAAAGTCAAAGAGGAGAGTGAAAAAGTTGGCTTAAACTCAGCATTCAGAAAACTAAGATTATGGCATCCAGTCCCATCACTACATGGCAAATAGATGGGGAAACAGTGGGAACAGTGACAGACTTTATTTTTTGGGGCTCCAAAATCACTGCAGATGGTGACTGCAGCCGTGAAATTAAAAGATACTTGCTCCTTAGAAGGAAAGTTATGACCAACCTAGACAGCATTTTAAAAAGCAGAGACCTTACTTTACTGACAAAGGTCCGTCTAGTCAAGGCTATGATTTTTCCAGTAGTCATGTATGGATGTGAGAGTTGGACTATAAAGAAAGCCGAGTGCAGAAGAATTGATGCTTTTGAACTGTGTTGTTGGAGAAGACTCTTGAGAGTCCCTTGGACTGCAAGAAGATCCAGCCAGTCCATCCTAAAGGAAATTAGTCCTGAATATTCATTGAAAGGACTGATGTTGAAGCTGAAACTCCAATACTTTGGCCCCTTGATGTGAAGAACTGACTCATTTGAAAAGACCCTGATGCTAGGAAAGATTGAAGGTAGGAGGAGAAGGGGACGACAGAGGATGAGATGGTTGGATGGCATCACCGACTCAATGGACATGAGTTTGAGTAAACTCTGGGAGTTGGTGATGGACAGGGAGGCCTGGCGTGCTGCAGGCCATGAGGTCGCAAAGTCAAACATGACTGAGCGACTGAACTGAACTGAACTGAGTTACTACACAGCTACCAAAATAGGGACACTTGAAAAGCCTGATAAAAGGTTGGTAAGGATGTGATGCAGTGGAAACTCAGAGTCTCTGCTGTCAGTGGTTAGGTTGATCACAACCACTTTGGAAAAAACTGTGGTAGTGTCTAGGTAAATCTGAATATATACCTACCCATGACCTGGCATTTCCTTCCCTAGGAAATATATTCCCTGCATAAATAGATAGTTACATATATATATATATATATATATATATATATATATACCGGAATATATGTATAAGATACATGTGTAAGAATCTATCTCTGTCACTGAAAGCAGCTAAAGGCCTGGACATTTAGCAGCTATTTGAAGACTCTGAAATATAAACAGTAGTAGATAGATTGGAGGAAAAAACTAGAATTAGAAGTACTACCACACTGGCAGTGGATTTCTCATTTTTCCTCTGGTATCCCATCTCATGGACTCGAGGCATCCCAAAACCTGAGCACAAACAGAGTAGACATCAGGGCAAAACTGGAGAGAATTCCAGAAGACCTCTAGTTATGGTTCTGGTTGGGAAAGGAGCTCTAAGGCTCGGATAGAGGGGGGCATCCCAAAGGTCATTTTTTCTGTTTTCTCATGCCTTAATCCCCAGGCAGTCCCTGAGTGGTGATGATGGCAGTGCCCAGTAACAGCAGTGGGGCTTTCAAGCACCTAAAACTGGGGAAAGGAAATATTCTTCTTTGATCAAAACTTCCTTTCTGAAATCCCAAGAGGGTGGGAGGAAATCCAGTTGCCTTTTCTCTCTTGGCCTTCTTGTTGCTTGGTTCCAGATTTGGGTACAGTTTAGGAAACGTGTGGCAGAAAGTGGTAAATAAAACCTCAGCTTTTGGGCCAGAGGATCAAGAAGGTGAGGCCCAATAAACTGGAAAGTGCAAGGAGATGGCAGAGAGGAAGGAGCTCAGGAAAGTGACTCCATAATGTATGTGAACTTCTGGGCTAACCCTGAGCTGTGCATGTGCACGTCTGATTCCAACCAACACACCAAACATTTAGAGAACTGAGCTAAGGGATGGACCAGACTAGACACTGGGTAGTGTGCACAGAGGACACACCTGAACAGGCTTTGAAAATAGAACTGGCATTGAAACCACAACTCACAGAAGGCTGGTCAGAACTTGTCACCTAAATCCAACCTGGCTGATTGTCTGGTGAAACAAAAATATCAGCATTCTCCACTGGATTTAAATCAGACCTGGGTTTAAACAAGATTTAAACACATTTCACAATATAATATTCAAAATATATAAGACACAATCTAAAATTAATTATCATATGAAGAACCAGGAAAATCTCAACTTGCCTGGGAGAGACAATCAATAGATTCTGATGCTAGGATGAAGTTGAAATAATCTGACAGACTTTAAAGTGACATTTATACAAATGCTCCTGGACGCCTTTCTCCATCTCTTCCATCTGGCTGTTCCTGAGTTAAATCCTTTCTTAATAAACTGGTAATCTTGTAAGTAAACTGTTAAAAAAAAATGCTCTCAAAAGTAAGGATAAACACTGTTGACATGAATTTAGATAGAAAGTGTTAGCTGAAAAAGAAAAAAACTTGAATATATAACCAAATGGAGATAAAAGAAAAAAATACAATAATTGAACATTTAAAAACTCTGCTGAATAGGCTCAATCACAAAATGGAGATGATGAGCAAAGAATCAGTAAACTTGAAAATAAAGCAGTAGAAACTATCCAATGTGAACAGTAGAAGAAAAAATGTCAAAGCGGTTGAATGGTGGCTCAGTAACTTATGGGACAATGCTGGAAGGTTTACTGTCTGTGTCATTGGAGTCCCAGAAGGAGAGAAAGAGTGCAGTACAGAAGAAATGTTTGAAAAAGTAACGGCTTAAACTTCCCGAATTTGGTGCCCAAGTAGGGTTTATCCTGGGAATGGAAGGCTGGTTCAACATTCAAAAGTCAATCAGTGTAATCTACCATATTAACTGTTTAAAGAAGAAAAACTACATGGTCATGTCAATTGATAAAGAAAAAGCATGTTAAAATTCCACATGTACTCACGATAAGAATTCTCAGAAAACTTAGAAGGGAACTTTTTCAATCTGATATAGGGCATCTACAAAAAGCCTACAGCAAACATCATACTTTATGGTACAACTGCTCTCCCCCTAGGATTAAGAACCACTCCTGAAAGTCCTAGCCAGTACACTGAGAAGAAAAAGAATGAAAAAGAATGCAGATGGGAAAAGAACAAATAAAACCAACCCTCTTCATAGGTGACATGGTTTCCTACACAGAAAATCCCAAGGAATCTGTTTTTAAACGCCCATCAGCAGACGAATGGATAAGGAAGCTGTGGTACATATACACCATGGAATATTACTCAGCCATTAAAAATAATTCATTTGAATCAGGTCTAATGAGATGGATGAAACTGGAGCCCATTATACAGAGTGAAGTAAGCCAGAAAGATAAAGACCATTACAGTATACTAACACATATATATGGAATTTAGAAAGATGGTAACGATAACCCTATATGCAAAACAGAAAAAGAGACTCAGATG